TGGGTGTTAATTTCATAGGTACTGGGTTGGACTGTAGTCTTTGGCAACTAGTCTGACACTCTCAGCCAGGCACTTGCTTGGTAATCGTGTGAGTGAGTCTGATAGTCACATGAAAACTGCGGTGTCACGTAATCAAAAAAAGAATCACAGAACTCCGACTGCCGTTCCTTTATTGTATCCTTTATTTTATCTGCCTTATCATTTATTTGAAAATCTTGGGTGTCATAGCAGTTAACATCCTTTAAAAATGAACCTGTCAAAGAAATTTTCTTTTCCTTCTTCACAAATAGGAGAAATCCTACATCTATCTGTTATTACTACATATAAGATCCAGAATATTTCATTTCTTGGGTGGGCATGTTGTTACAGCTATCCATGGATAGTTGTATTTATAACTAAGGCTTGTTATTAGGAAAACACACTGAAAAGGTCTAATGTTCAGTAAGAACTTCTGATTTTCATTTCCTGCCCTAATACACTTTGGAAGACACATAAAATACAAGGTGACTAAATTCCTTATAAATTATGTAATACAGAAACTTTACATTTCTGTGAAGAGCAAGTTACTCACCTCTGAGCTTCATAGCTCACTTTTAGCCCCTGAGAGTCAGTAGTGCTAGAATGGACAGACTATAACTGGTTCACTAATTGGACTTCATATACTGGCTTCCAGCCGTAGAAGTTCCAGGCCTGGGCAAAGAACATTTTAGTCTACCTTCTAGACACTACTATGTAGCCTCTTAGCTGTTCTAATGTATGCCAGAGCCTGACAGTAGGGGATTAAAAATTTTTCTCTGCTCTGTCCTCTTTTTTTGCCTAAGCACAGCTTCTGTATACTAAGGCACAGTATACAACCTATTATACTGCCTTTAACCTTGAAAAATTTTATTGCTATTTTAGTTCTGTTTAGAAAGGCTTTCTTTCTGCCTTGAAAAGTTGAACTCAAGGGAACAAAGGTAGCTTGGTTTTCAGTTGGAAGGCTACAAAAGCAGGTCCACGGTTTTGATCCTCTGTAGCCCTTTTTTCTTTTTTTGGAAACAAGATATAAAGATTTTGCTGTTCAGAGTCTGGAATGATCTGCAGAGCTTTCTTTGCCAGCTGCAGTAATTCTTAGACACTTAGTCAATCCTTCCAGATGTAAATTCTGTGGCAATCTAATTTAAATCAAGTAGAAACACACTTAGTTCACTAGTACTCGCAATACTGTTACAATTCAAAAACAACATCAATCTTGCCAAAGAGAGAAAATGACTGGCAGCTTTCCCTGGTCAAAATTAGAGGAATAGCTGTGCAACAGGCAAAGCTGAGGGCACAATGCATTTTTCAGCCTCTAGTGGCATTTTGGCACTTTTCCCTGATGTATACTGAAGACCCTTACAGTATACGCGTTGCCTCTTCTATATTTAAAAGTATTCCATTTGCCTTCTTTATTTATCTTTTTTCTTTGTTTGTTTTCTGATTTAAACTACTTCCTGTGAGTTAAACTGAAGCTACAAGAGCTGTCAGAATTACATTAAATCCCTTCCAAACATAAACACTGTTAAAGTCCCCTTCCCCACCTCAACACATACAATTACTTTGGTTTTAGTTTTACAATAAGATGGTCGAGAAAAATATTTGGTGATAAAGGTAATCACTACATTGTAGAATTGCAATAAACTGTTTTTACTCCTCAGTGAGTCATGAAAACAAATCATGATTTTTCATTCATGAGGCACCTCGTGGCTTAGTAAATTCTCTTGCTGGTGATCCCTTTGCTATGTGCAAGCTGTATTTTGATGACAGTAACTAAAGAAGTACTCAATATGACGTGTAATGTTTGTAAGATGTTCTAAGTTGCTATGAATTCAAGCAGCCTCCTTGTTAAATACATTTTGTTGCTTCTTCAACTCGTGTTGGCTAATTTGTATGTCTCATGTTACCTTATTACTCGACAACAGACATATTCTAACATTTAAGTATACTGTTAAAAACTAGTAATTGTAAGTATGCTGCCACTTGGCCTCATGTAATTATCATCTGTTTGGTTTTCCAGCCATAGTACATTTCATGTCTATACATCCAAATATTCCATTGGAGTACAAAATGAATACATAGGAAGCAGACAGGTTAAGACACTGCTTCATTCTAGTTTCCACATGGAACTGCTTATCACAAAGTACTCTTCATATCAATACTGTCTGAGATCAGGCCTGCCTAGCTGCCTTTTCTGACAGATATTCTTGGTTATGGAGAGCCTGTTAATAATGATTGAACTACATGACATTTCTCTGGAATTAATGATTGACTAGAAGACTCCAGTGGCTCAGTGCTTGGCAGAGCACCATTCTCTCCAGCAGGCAGTCTTTCCCTAGGAAATACTCAGAGGTTGCATGAAGATTAGTATTATTATTTACAAAATGAAATAGTGAATTTTAAGCATGATCATTGCAATTGCTCTGTGTTTTAATTGTTCAGTATTCTTCAGATTAATCTCCACCTCAGTGTTCAGGTTAACATGTGTTCTCTTTCTTAATTTTACTTTTTCAAAATCACTTATTTACATAAAAGCTTGCGAGAATCAGTTCTAATATTTCATACAAAACATAACATATATAATACACACATATCTGTGCAAAGTATGAAGGTGTAATATGTTTGTTTAATTTCCACTAAGAAATGGCTATACAATGCTATATACGTCCCCCCAAAAACCTGTTTTCTAGATTAAAATGGAACAAGCAATATTGCCATTGATTCACGTGTGAAAGTCTCATTGAAAATAGAGAAGTATAAGAGGACTAATGTGCTTTGTGGAAGGTCTGTGCCTACAGTTAAGTACTTCACTTAGCTAAGTGGATATGTGCTTGAGTAAAGACATGCTCTGTGGGTTGAAACTTCATGTTCTCAATTGTTCCAGAGGCAAAATACATTAGTTGTGGAATTAAGCTATAGAAAAAATAAGTAATTATTACTTACTTCAATGCAGTGACAAAAGGGATGTCTAGAAAACACAGTCCTGATGCTATATTGTGAAATCTTTTGTGTTTCTCAGCTTCATAAAGACAACTGAAATCAAAGTTTATTTACAGTTTTAATTGAAAAAAAAAAACTTCAGAAAATCATGCAATGACCCAATACATGCCCCAGTACGGTATGAAAAGCCTGTTTCTCTCAGTTTTAGTTCTGTTATTTCCGTTGTTACGCTCAATGGTTATATATTTTGATCACATAGATAATTTGACAACTGCACACTAGGAAAGCATTGTAACACACTGCAGCAGGCAAAAAAAAAAAAGGGGGGGGGGGGGGGGGCTCACAATATAGTCAAGAATAAGTCGAGTTCACCCTTACAATTCTAAGAGATAACGTGGTGAAAATAACTTCACTAATATTACTAACAGGAACATCGGGCATAATTAGAGTAATTTATGATTTATTAGGGTAATAGCATTCATGGGTTCTGAGTTCAATAGGTCTTATGCTGTCACAGGAAACACTTTTTCAAAAAGCTTTGAATAACTCTCCTTTTTTTTTTTTTTTTTTTTTTTCTTCCCTAGTTCTGACCTCCATTTCCTAGCACACGCATTTAGAGTCAGATCCTGATCTGGTGGAACTGTGTCCACCACATGTTAGATTCTAGCCTAAATACTTTGTTGTGGTTGCACAATGCCCAAGGAAATCCCCAGGAACTTACAAAACAAGGAATGCATACCATAGCCAGTCAGAATTAATGGCCTACAGAATAAATCATTTTTGATGCTATTATTTCTGCACGTGCATGGCACTAATCATGCAAAATATTTAAGCAGCTTTTCAGCAAACAGGGGAGCTTGTATAATCTTATGTACCTGACAAGACTGGCCTTTAAAAGTCTACAGATACAACAGTATGATTCACTTTTGTGCTGTACCTTCAGCACAAATTGCATCACAAAGTGTTAAATAATAAATAACAGCAGAGTGAAGTATACACAAGAGAGGAATGATATGATTTCAGAGGAGACTTGAAAGGGGATGTTGATGAGGTGGAGGTGTTAAGAATTAAATATTAACAAAAAGGCTGGTTTGGCTGAGACCAATTGTTTTCCTCTGCTGAGGAATAAAGGGGCTTTCTGACCTGCAGGAAGGCTTTCTGCCAACCCGTTTGGTGGAATCATCACATTGTACTTGGAGTCTATTTTTAAGAGAAAGCAAAGGATCGCAATTAGCTAACGACAGCCCTCTCCAGTTCCAAAGGTCTGCTTCGTCCTCTGCCTCACCTCTCCGTTCACTACTGCTTCGCAAACCCACACGAACCTGGTCCGAGTTCCTGGGGAGCAGCGGCCACGCAGCCCCTCTCCCCGAGCTGAGGCCATCCAGACGTGTCCCTGAGGAGCGGGGGAGCTGCTCCTAACCCGGCCCACACGGCTACATCCCGCCATAACGGGCTTGTTTCCTACATTTGGTGGCAGCATAGCATTCAGGATAATACCACTGCTGTTCGTGCAGGTCGCTGCCAAAGCAAACGGTGGGATGATGGAGTCAAGCGGCAAGGAATGGCTGAAAACTCTTTCCCAGAGTCAATGCCGTGTTTGGGGGAAGTTATTTTAATTCAGCGTCTCACGGGCAGCCTTACCGCGTCCCCAGAAGCCAGCCCGACCGACATTGTAACGAGATTTCTAAATAACTGACGTGCAGGGGCAGCTCACGTTTAGCAGCCACACGCATAGCCCCGCCGCAAGCCGCGCAGCACGGGTAACGCGCTACCTGAGGGCAGCGCGCGTCCATGCCCGCGCTTTAGCGGAGACGCGGCCCCGTGCGCGGCGCCCTGCCGGGACCCGCCCGCCCCTCGCAGGTGAGCGAAGCTCCAGCCGCACCGCCAAGCGCGCGCATAGCGGAGCGCTCCTCGCACTCCGGCGCGCACCTGGGCCTGGAGCCCGCGCGCTGCAGGGGGGCGCGAGACCGCAGCCGCCCGGCGCCGCGCCGCCCCCCGCCCTGTCCGGCCGTTACCCTGGAGTGGCGCGCAGGACGGGGAGAGGAGGCGCTGCCGCGCTTTCGAAGACGCACCTGTGGGGAGCGCCCACCTAAGCGGGAAGTCTCTTATGTAAGGGATCCGCGGCGGGGGACGGGCGCTTTGAGGGGCTGCTGGGCGCGAGTAAAGCCCCGCGGGGGAGGCTGCGCGGGAACGGGCGGCTCTGCAGAGCGGTGCCCGGGGAAAGGGGCCGCGCTCGGTTCCGCGGCGTTCGGGCGTCCGCCGGCGCCTCGGTGCCTAGGCTGGGCCGGCGGGGCCGCCTCTCCCTCACGCTCCGCCGCGGGGCAGCCTTCCCCCGCCGGCTGGATGCTGCCCCTCGGCTCGCCGGGCTCCGGGCAGGGGCTCTGCGGGCGCCGGCTGAGGGAGTCGCGCGACGGGCCGTGCCGGGCTCGGCGGGGGAGCGGAAGGCGGGCGCCAGGCGGCGCGAGGCGGCCCCGCTCCGGTCCTTCCCTCCCCTGCGGCGCCCTCGCCCCGGCGCTCCCGCCCCACGCCCCGCTCCCAGCCCGCTCTTCCGCGCTGCCCCGCGCCGCCGCCGCACCTCCGCCCCCCGCACTCCTCCTCCTCCTCCTCCCGCGTGCTCCCTCTCCGCGCTCCCCGCTCCACAAGTGCCGCTCGCTCGGCTCCTCCGGCGCAGGGAGGCGCGAGGCTGCGGCCCGCGCGGGGCCGTCCGCAGCGTTGAAGGCGAACGCGGCTGAGGCGCGCCCGGCCGTTGACCGAGCCCTTTATGTCCAGCTCCCGGCGCGGCGCAGCATCCAGCAAGTCGAGAGGCGGCGGCGGTGCTGAGCCGGGGCTGAGAGGCGGAATGGAAGGTTTCGTTCGGCTGCTCTTCGGTTACTTGGTGGCGGACTTGCTTACGCTGGTTTGTCGGGCTCAGGAGAAAGCCGGCCAGCAGCTGGGGAGTTTCGTGGTGCTCTCGGGAGGAAACCGCTCCAGCCTTGGGGAACAACCGGACCCCTCCGAGCCACCTCCCACCCCGGACTTCTGCAGGGGCTACTTCGACGTGATGGGGCAGTGGGACCCTCCCTTTAACTGCAGCTCGGGGGAGTTCATCTTCTGCTGCGGCACTTGTGGCTTCAGATTTTGCTGCAAGTTCAAGAAGACAAGGCTGGATCAAAGCACCTGCACGAACTACGAGACGCCGCTGTGGATGAACACTGGGAAGCCTCCTTCCCGCATAGATGACCCTCTGCACGACCCCACCAGGGATAAAACCAACCTCATCGTCTACATTATCTGTGGGGTTGTGGCAGTTATGGTGCTGGTGGGAATCTTCACCAAACTAGGGCTGGAAAAGGCACACAGACCTCAGCGGGAGCACATGTCCAGGTAAGGTTGAGTGTTGGGTGCGGGGTCCCTTCCTCCATCGCTCCTCTAAAAAAAAAAAAAAAAAAAAAAAATCAAAAAAAATCAAAAAATAGAAGCCCACGAGTTCCTAAACAATATGTCTACCCAGCCAGGCGGGCTTCATTCCCCTGCAAGGTAACTGAGACCAACTTCAGAGAGCAGGGCTTCTATGGTTCCCCAAGCCGAGGTTATCATAGTGCATGCAAGAAGAATAGAAATTAATAGGGTAGTGTGCACACAGAGCAGTCAGTTTTTATCTGCAGCATTGGACATACTCCCCAGTAATATCCAGCAAGTCTTTCTACATACACTGTAGTTGAATAGGAAAAGAAAAAATTCTGAAACCAGAAACAGTGAATTATAGAAAGCCTGGTAGGTTCTCTCTTCCAACTGTTTTGAAGCCTGGAAAATTTTTTTATCTTCTCAACTGAAGATGTAAACAAATGTCATCTCGCTCTCCCTTTCCAGCTGCAAAATGGTTTTGGCAGGACCTTCCCTACTCCCCCAGCCTTTGAAAGTGTGTGAGCTATTTGTAAAATATCTGAGCTGTGAAAATGAGCCAGGGTAGAAGGGAAGAGGGAGACAAAAAGGAAATGCTATTGTAGAATTGCTTAATGTTTTTTCAGTTACTGTTGAGAATTTTAACACAGAATATGAAGATCTTGTCATCCATAAATGTGTTATACTCTGTATCCACTGTGTAATGGCTGAGTTACACCGAAGAGAACCTCCCCCACCTAGAGTTAGGCATGCTGTGTGCTGTCTACTCCAGATACAGATAACAGACACACAGCTTAGGACAGAGCCCAGTGTCTTAAACAACGTATTCCAAACCAGGATTGTCACAGCAGTTCAAAATCAAGGCATAACACGTGTGCCAAGTTTGCAGTCTATCTGAATTTTTTTATGCTAATCCCAAGCACATGAAAGTAAAGCAGAGGCTGGGGGGGGGGGGAAGGCATTAAAGAAAGGGTATCTCTCCGTTAAAGAGCCTAAATTAACTCCAGTGTCTTGGGCAACTTTAGAAATGCAGTGCAATTAAAAGGATGCCTTCTACTGGGCATGCAGTGAGGCAGAAAGATTCCCCTTGCCCTGGTGATGATGTAGTTCACAATCTTTAAAGCTTAGATGAAAAGTCTTTGAAATGTAGCTCAAGAAATCAACTCAACACCTGGAGCCGTATCACGGCAGCTTATCATGGAACGTACAGGAAAAAGCCACCAAAAACTCCTGCAAAGGAATTGTCTGTTCGCTAAGTTATTTGCTATTTATAAACTGGCTGATATGGATACTACTGAGAACAAAACATCACAAATTTTAGTCAACTCAATACTGTGTGTCAGTGGCAATTCTGCAAAGCCAGTTTTCTTTGAGCAAGGTATATTAATCCTTTAGACATTTTGAATATTCTGACTGCAAAACTGAGTCAAAATAAATATAAATAATAAAGTGGATCCCACTTTATTTTTTAACTCTGACCCTTAAACTAAGGGGCTGAAGCTTGTTTGTGAAAAGCTGTCATATGCTTCAGTCTATTTCTGTGATGTCTTTGTGCAGGCAATAAGTCAAAGCTTGTAACAAAAAGCAGGACAAAGCAATGGTGTAGCCATCCCTGCTTATACCTGGCTTAAACAGATCCAACTTCTACTAACAGAAATACTTGCTGAAGAAGCTCTTTGTATTTGCTATCTAAAGTACAGGTGTTAAGTATTCTGAAATGATATTCTATCTTCTGATATTCTGGGAAACAGTATTACGAGGGACCAGAAAATATTCTGAGATCCCTGTCATGTGTGCATAAAGATTAGGTTTCTGAAGTGGTTCTTGGAAAGGTCATGTGTTATCCTAATTACTTAACATTGTCTGAGATCTTGTACCTTCCTTGCTGTGAAAACATTCAAATCAGGATTATAGCAACTGGGAAAGTCATGATCACATGGAAAAACAGTCACCCACTCACTGCACATAATAGCTAGTCATCTTCTGATGAAGCAGTACTACAGCTTTTTTTTTTTTCCTCCCCAAAAGTTCTCACACTCCTATTACAGTTGTGTGGGGTGGGTCTGGTATAGCATTACTTGTAAAAGGAATTGATTTGTAAATCCTTTGGGCAATCTAAAAATCTTTCATTGAGTGAAGAACTGAAGTATCCTTTTATCCTCAAATGCGTGTTTAACTAAAACGTTCCATCCTCACTTTACACTACTAATACTCTGAAAAAGAAGTTGCAGTACTTAAGCAGTTGCAGTACTTAAATTTATCAGTTTAAATAGTTAATAGTACCAGCAATTAAAATAATATCTAGTCTGTATTTGCATTCACCTTCTTTTGTAATACTAATTTCTACAATTAAAAAAACATGCAGAACAAACCCAAATCAAAACTAGCACCCCTTATGCTTTTTTTCTGTACCAAATCTTATTAATAAGCAAAAATGTAATGCACTGAGAGTGTTAGGTAGGCCAATTCAGAAGTGTAAGTGCTATTCCATTTTGGCTGGCAGCAAAAAACATTCATACAGAAACTGATTTGATATCTATTTCCTTGCTAAGATTGTCTCTTTTCCCTCCCCTACCCACAGGTACAGGAAATAGTGGAATTCTCTCAATTCTTATGAACAAATTCACCTAAGTAAAGGCTAGTAGTGCTTATCAGATAAGGTGATGGATGATGTAAGCTGACTTTTTTATAAGAGCTGATTTTTTTTAAGGGAACAGGATACAACTGGTGTAAATTATGTAATTCCATTTTTCTATTTACTATTTAGAAACACAGAGACCTGCACGTGAGAATAAGAATGTTGACTTGTAAACAGGGAGCAGGTCTGTGCCATACTTAGTAATTCCTTGCATCATTTCATCTTGAGGTCAGTGGATCTGCTGCTGAAGTAAGACACTTGTGTATGTTAGAGCAGAGAAAACTTCTCAGAGTTGGTGAGCTTAGTTTCTATAGCCTTTCATTATATTTTGTTTACTTCTATACCAAAACAAACCACGAACACTATTCATTTCATATGAATTTTCCTGAAATATTTCACAATGAAAGAACAGTGGGGAAATGTAGTTATACCCACAGCAAAAACAAACAAACAAAAAACCCTACAAGAAAACCCAGTGGACAAGGCTATTTAGCACAAAGAAGTTGCTTACTTTTCTTTTAAGAAAAAATGCCAAATATGAAACTATTGACAATTTCTTTCCTTTGCTTTTAAATAAAACACTCTTACTGTTGGCATGGAACTGTGAATATAGAAGATGAAAGTGGAGAATTAAGTATGGTATTAACTCTGCATCGTGTATTTCCCTTTAGACATCATATGATAATGCACTGTTTATATCATTTTCCCTTTTAAATTTGTTACTTGATATTACAAGGAGATAAATGTTCCCTCAGCTACGGTGTTCAGGAACCAAGCAGCAATAGTAGTGTCCAAGTAGAGTAACTCTTCCTTTACCTAAATGCCTTTCAAAAGAATAAGATGGTGTATGTTATCAGATGTGGCAGAGGGATTGCGTGTGGCAGTATCATGCCTAAAAGGAGAAGAGAAGCAATCTGCCTCCTGAAGCAGACCTCGAAGCCCTGCTGCTTAGGAGGGCAGCGCGTGCTTGCTGCTTAAGACTTGCATCAGAGAGACTTTCAGGCTCTGTAAAATGATGAATTCTTGAAAATGTGTAGAATAAGCAAAAGCTTTACTTCTTTTCCATGGAGATCTTTCTGTAAACAAAACTACACCTTTGTCTTCTTCTCTAATCCTCATGGAGAATGTGCAAACAAACCTGAAACTGAATGAACAATATTTACACTCCTACTCCTAGCTCCTGTTGTCTTTTTTTTTTTTTTTTTTTTTTTTTTTCAAGCAGTGCTTCTGATAGCCGATAGCTGATAGTATGATAGTACAGCTGATTGTATAGCTGATAGCAGCTTTCCGAACATTATGAACCATCTGATCTCTTCTTTTATCCTTCTCAATGTGCTAAGCTCCTAAGTCAAGTCTTCTGTTGATTATTTGGAAGGCATATGCCTGGGGCCAACAATAGTCTGACTTGCCAAAATGCTGAATCCTACATGTGAAATTATTTCCCTTATGGATTTAGACCCAGTTTTGGAGGCAAAATTTAACAACTGACCTTTCATGAAATAACTTGTGTTTCAGCTTCTTCAGGCTTATAACCATAAGGGAAATGCCTGGCTCCACGTGCTTTGTAACATCTGAAAATAGTATTATATACCCAAAGAGAAATCTTATTGCAGAAGAAATCACAAAGTTTTGTGACAGTTGGATAGCTCTGGGCCATGTTTAGATAATGTTTTTCCACTTCAGTAAAACTGCAGTCAATGTCAATGCATCAATACATAGGACTTAGATATCACTATGTTTTACATTTCCTTAAAAAATTATTATGTATAGCAGTGGTGTGAATAAAGTCCCTCCACACATAAGTATCACTTTTTGTATGATGATATTCAGGTGAGAAATGCACAAAGTCTGTTGGCCTATGCAGTATTTTTTGAAGCAAGCATTCGTTCAAGGATGCTGCTGTGTACTCTGTATGCACAAAACTCTATATAGGCAAATCCCTAGGAAAAAAAATGCAGGTAACTGCATTGCCTTTGTGCTTCAGTAACATGAGCTGCCACACATTTTTAACTCTCCCTGACATCAGTGGAAGATAAGGACAAGCCTTTTGTTATATGAGCTATTTTGCCCTGGGAAGACTGTATAACTTTGGCTAGTACAGTACGAACATAGGTGCTGTGTCATTCAAAATCATTAAAAATAGAACTTGACGAGAAGTTCCTTTTTCCTTGACATATTTGCACAGCTAATTCCTTAAAACCTGACTGAAAAAAAAAGCCACACTAAAGAGGTAGAAAACTCAGCTGGCATTTTCACAGTCAGTCAGTAGTTAATCTGCTGCCATTTAAAGTCTATAGTTAACAATATTCAACATCATATTAAGGGCAATGAGGAAGACATTTCAGAAAACCTGTTCTTGCAAGGCTGGGAAATGCTACACTATGTATTACAGGTTCACACAATTTTAACTCCCGTGATGAAGGAACTTTGATTGGTGCTTCTTTCCCAGAAATGTGTCCATCTGCCTCTGGAAAAAAAATAAATATTGCATGAATTCATAGAATCATAGAATCACAAGGTTGGAAAGGACCTATAAGATCATCCAGTCCAACCGTCTCCTCATCACCACTGCCACCACCAGCACTAAACCATATCACGCAGCACGTCGTCCAGACACCTCTTGAACACTGCCAGGGACGGCGACTCCACCACCTCCCTGGGCAGCCATTGCACTGCCCGACCACTCTCTGAGAGAAGAAGTTCTTCCTTATGTCCAACCTAAACCTCCTCTGATACAACTTGTGGCCACTGTCCTGTGTGCTGCTCATTGCCTGGGAGAAGAGGCCAAATCCCTCTTCGCCACAAGCTCTCTTCAGGAGGTTGCAGAGTGCAGTGAGGTCTCCCCTGAGCCTCCTCTTCTCCAGACTGAACAATCCCAACTCCCTCAGCCGCTCCTCCATAAGACTTGTGCTCCAGACCCCTCACCAGTTTCGTTGTCCTTCTCTGGACAGGCTCCAGGACCTCAATGTCTTTCCTGTAGTGAAGGGCAATTGACTAGAATTGACTAGATATTGATAGTTTTGGTTCCTGTTATTCTAAACCGTCTTTTGCAATATAGTGCTTTATTTTAGCATCTTTTTCTACATACCTTTGTGAGATCTCTCCTAGTGATTTTTATTTTTCTGCTACATAGGCCAGTTCTGCAATTTCTGCTGTATAAGCATTGCTTCAAATGGAAGCATTGCTCTGATACCATTACAAGTGGAGGCACTGCTCTGATACCATTAATCATTTTGTTACTACCTTCTGACCTTTCACAGCATTAAGAGAATATTCTGTAACAAGTTGATCACAACTGTAACTATCATTTAATAACATGATGCTAGCCCTAAACAGATGGAAACAGCAGTACCATTCATCAGCATGCCTGCAATCTGAGAGCAAGATTTATCTCAGAATTCCTCTTTGTATCTTAAGTGAAACAGCTATTTAATATTTAAAAGGACGGTGCTCCTTGATCAAGAAATCATCATGCAATGGTAGCACAGTGCATGAGCTGGATGATACTTGTTGTGACGTTTACCAGTGAACATGTTTACATTTATTTATTTGTTTATAAACTTGATGCACTGTCTGGGACACTGTATAATCTGGCAGAAAATTCAAGTAGACACAGTGCTTGGAAGATGCATTCATTCCCTTCAAAAAGTAGCTGAAGGCATCTAAAAATTAACACCAGTAAGATAAATGGAGGATGCAAATAATGATCAGTGATGTACTGACTTGCGTGACACTGATAAGACACAGTGAGCGTTTCTGTTGCCAAAAGGAATGGTTTCTGCAGGTGGGCCGGTTATTTTTGGGGCACAGTGGTTCAGCGGGTAATGATGTGATGCGCACCTAGGGGCTAATCCTGCTCCTAGTGAAGTCAACGGTGAAACTCCACGGCCCAGAATCAGAGAGGGAGATTTTCAGAACTTAAAACGTGTGCGTTCTTACCTACGTGATTCACACTGGGCAGGTTGTTTGACAGGGAACCAGTCATAGAAACTACACAAATGTGGGATGAGCCACTGTGTTACACAAAATTACTGCCTGCAGAAAACCCCCACGACCAGCTTCAGGTTGGGCCTGTCCATACTGTGAGGACTCCTTCTGCCTGCTCTCTGCTGCTGTAAAGCTTTCATCCTTTTTCCAGCAATGTTACCGTGCCAGCTTTGCTCTGCTGTAATGATGAGGTCACTCTCATAGAAGTGAGAAAAGATGTTTTCAGCTGCCTTTTGAATGGAGAAAACTTAAAAACCTGCTTGTGGATGGTGCTGTGCCTACTGGATTGCTACAAGAAAATCAAAACCTTTCATCTTCGGTAACATTTTTCATTGAAAATGGTGGAGGCCACTGCACTGTGTGGTGCTCTGTGCAGCTGCATGTTTAAGAGTTGACTCTGACAGACCTGCTCAGTTTGTCTGCAAAGGCACTGTCACTGAGCACAGGCAATGGATGAACTCTGCAAGTCTCAAAAAGTTTAAATCGTGTTCTCATAGAGCAAAGACAGCTGAAGAACTGAGTCTTAGTGAAGTCTCATGATGAATTTGAGTTCCTGATTTTTCTGTGAATAGGAACAGTTTCTCCAGTAGACACTATGGTAGACTATCCCAAACAGAAACAACACACCTGGACTGTATTGCAAATAAAGACATTTTGCAACAGGCTTATTCTGAAATTTTGTTTGTTTTTCAGGGCTCTCGCTGATGTGATGCGACCACAAGGTCCTTGTACAACAGATCATATGGAAAGAGATCTCAACATTGTAGTACACGTGCAACATTATGAAAACATGGAGACAAGACCTCCTCCAAATAATTTACGTAAGTTGCTTTATAACTACATTAATATCTGGAATGCTCGCACTAAAATGATTTATTATGAAATGATGTTGGTGGATATCAAATGTGAATATGCAGTAGCAGGTTCTGGCAACTTAGAAATAATTTATCTCAGAATTAGAAATACCTAGATTTCCTGGTGCAAAAAGTGCAATGCTTACAGAAAACTATTTTGTTGAGAAAAAAAAAAAAGAGTTAGTCTTTGTTTTTAACCTTGTTGTCGTGGTTGACTGTTTCGAATCTTTGTCTAACTGACGTTTTTATTAAGCTCATCAACCTGTTCCTTATTCTTGTTTTATTTTAGTATTAAAAAAAAAAAAAAATTAAAAAAAAAAATGGCTAAGCTTACAGCAAGTTTTAACAAGATGCATCATACACCTGTAACACCCAAAAAGGAAGTGGTCCCATTGGGGTATCACCTAGTGGTCATCTCGTTATCATTGCCACTAGTAAAATAGTTAAATACATTCCTGAAGAGCATAAAGTTGTACCTAGTTTTCAATTTCCTCATTTTTTTTTTTTTCTGTAATGGAAATTTGAGAGAAAAACTATTACGTTTTAAATAATTTTGTTTTGTATTTGCTATTATTTATTTGTTCAAGATAAAGTAAAACTACACCTTGGAGCTTCAGAGGAAATATGGTGACATTTCAAGGGCTTCTGGAATCCTAGGCACTTTATTTCTCAGTCTTCTGTTATACAGATGCAGATCTTTGTTGTGCTTTGATGTGTCCCATTATGAACAGTTTGACTATAATTTTAATTTGCATATGTTTATATTGTATCCTTCTATATTATATATACACACAGAAGTTACAGATTACGTGTTTACAATTTCAAGTTCAGTTAAAGAGGATCATTCAGGAAGGAATGGGTCATTAGACAGTAAATGGCTTTATTCTGTGCTGTAGAGCAATGCCGTGGAGCATTCTGCTGCATGTATACTTTTTCCTGCATTGGTATTTGGGTTCTGAAACATTTAAAGTATAGTCTTATATTTTTCCTTATCTTTCTATAAATGGAGAAAGCAGAAAATTTGCTTATATTTAGATAAAGAATTAGTTTTGTTCAGAGCAGACAGTGCTGTTATTGTGAGATTTTATTGCTCTTCTTTTCGGGTGAACATTGTAAGAACAGGGAGAGAAAGAGAAGGTTCATGTGCTGGGTGCACTCCTGGTGTTTGTTTTGTGGTAAAGGCTGATGGTGATTTCTTACGCGCATGGTTACAGGACAACAGGAGAGAATTAAAGCTGTGACCTCTAATAAAGATTCCACCTATAGCGAAGTCTGACATCTAATCTGTCTGCACTACTCAACAGCAAAGTACTTCCTGGGCATGTGCAGCTCTACACCACTGAAGGGGAAAATACACACATACTGCAGCATTATATCTCTTAATTGCATAGAAGCACAGTTTCTTATGAGGAACTTATGCTTCTCTCCCAATCAAAGGTACTCTAACTGCTTTTTGCTCCTGTGGTTTGAGGAAGATATGCTCTCTTACTCTCTCTCTTTGCTCTGTGTATTAGTTCTTTGACAATCTCTTCTGATCCTTCCAGTGACTGTGCTTTCAAGCAGGAAGATGCCAAACGCTAATGGTCAGGTTACAACCCTTAGTTTCTGTCATATATGAAATGTATATTTAGAATCTCAGTTAATGAAGAGAGCCAGAAAGTTAATAGATTCCTACTACATTGACTGCATCTGGAATTTTGTAATCTTCATACTGAGGTTTTGCTTAAGAATTTCTATACTACAATATATGGCATACTACAGTGAGTCTTTAAACTCTAAGTTATTCTATTTTTAATTAAGATTTAAGCCTTTGTTCTATAAACTGTTGCACGTGTCTTTCCACTAAGATGGACATAATTACAACACCAAAGAAGATAAGTGTAATGGTACCTTAGGAGCATGACTTACGTACATCGATCCCAGAATGTGTCCCTCTAGCACACATTATATATGAAGATCTTGCTTCACTGCAGTTTACCACAGAATTCCTACTGGTATGTTGGAGCAATCTTAACACCCCTAGGTGATGAAAAGGAGCCAGTCTCAGGACTGCTTCAGATGCAGCTCAGGCATTTCTGCTATGTATGGAAACCTTGGGGGGGGGGGGGGGGGGGAAAAACAAAAAA